TCTTAAGCTGTAGAAACTGGTGATCAAATCTATTAAAATGTTATATTTCACAAAGCAGCAATTAGAACTGGAAGTTCAAGACAATTTTTCCTATTTCGTTAGAAGTGTGTGTATATATGTGTATATATACATATATCTAAATATGTTTATGTGGATGTTACATTTATCTACTAAATACATACTATGTATGTTACATCAATATATATTTCATCTATCTATATATACTTATAATAAAATGTGTAAATGCTGCTTTGGTTAAATCACAGGCAAATATCTTATTCTTTACCATTGTTTTTATTATTTATCATGGAAAAATATCTCCTAAGTAATTATGATTAATCTGGCAATTGAGTACAATTTTCCTTTTAAATAATTCAATTAACTTCAGTAAATTAAAAAAGTTTTCTGACATAGTTGCAAAATTAAGAAAAAAAATGACACACAGCCTTCTGATACGTAGCATCCCTTTAAATGAAATCCTTCCAAGTGTGAAGAATGCATTAAGATTTTATCAAATGAATGCTCTTTGTGGAAAAAAAAGAAGATCTAAATTGTGATTTAAAGTTTACTACCACTACAATCTCTCCATTTGAGCAAAACTCCTATTGACAGGGTAGAGAGAGTTGGGGGGGGGCACCTCAGACCTCTGGGAATATCCTAGGAAATAAAAGCTGCTCTAAAGGAATTGTGCAAGGTTGACATCAACAGGAATTCCTTTCCAAACTACAGAAGACTGAAGATTGGGCGTTTAGTTCCATTGAGAAAAGGGGAGCCAGTCCTGAAGAGCCTCCGCGGTCTGTGCATGCTCACGTGTCTCCGGGGGTGATCAACCCTCCCCTGGCTCTGCAGGGTGGAGACTGTAAGCAGATTGAAATCACGCACCTGCTGGTCAATGGATAAGCTCTCCACATGTGGTGACACTGGCCCAGCTGAGGTGTGGGAAGCAGAGCTGACCTATCTCCTCTCCCCCTACTCTCCCCTGCATCGTCCCCACAGAACAAAGGGCGGTCACTCTGCTCCTCCCAGAGTCAGATGTATGCACACACCGTCCATCACAATTAACTTAAGAATCAGGAACACAATGCACACTCACCCACAGCATGCTCAGAATCAATGCCATCAATACCCAGAACGAGGATACCGAAAAAGCAAAACAAAACAAACCTATTCAGAGAGTAAATACTCAAAGCAACAGGGCTTGAATCAGACACACCACAAGGTCAACAAATCCGAGACAAGTTCAAGTGTGGGCACCTTATAAACCGAAGAGCTGGGCATTATCCCTGAGGAAAACGTAAACGCCTTCCAGGGCCAGCGAATGGGAAAGTCTTTAAGATAATAGAGAGTGAGCCTCTATTGAGCTGGACTGCAGGTGCCCCAGGAAAAAGCATTCACATTCAATTTTTTAAAATTTCAGTCCCCACTACATGATTCTTAAACAGAGAGTCTATAATCAAACGGAGAAGAAACAGAGTTAAATATGGGTGTAGAGAAGATGAAATAGAATAAAAGCCGGTCAGAAATATTACCAAGGAGTACATAGGGAATGAGAGGCAGGGCAGGGACCCTAGCGCATATTATTGGAAAGGATGGGGGCCTCTGGTGTATATCTTCAAAGGCAACTGCAAAACTACAGTTAAAAGAAATGGCCTACTAAGCTCTACTGTGTGGGATTGAGATGAGTCAAAGAGAGTCTTGACATAAGTAATTGAGCCAGATGACAGAAAGAGCACACATTCTTATGGAAGGCTCTAAATACCTACAGGCAGCCCCCCAAAACTATACACTGAGTGGCCAGATTGTTATGATCTCTGAACGCATAATAATCTGGCCACTCAGTGTGTGTGTGTGTGTGTGTGTGTGTGTGTGTGTGTGTGTGTGTGTGTGTGTGATTAGCGGCCTGGTGCATGAAATTGTGCATGGGCGGGGTCTGGCCAACCTGGCCAGGGGGAGGGGACATAGGCAGTTGGCCGGCCTGCCTGCTGGTTGAACTCCTGGTCGAGGGGATAATTTGCATTATTAGTCTTTTATTATATAAGATATATACTGAGTGGCTAGGTTATTATGCGTTCAGAGATCATCATCATCTGGCCACTCAGTGTAGCTGTGGCCTAATTGGAAGGCGAGGAAGGGGTGAACCGAATGACCTCCGAAGGTCCAGATTTAAATACGTCTATAGAGTCAACCCGTGGTTATCCAGCCCAAAGAGGAAGACAGTGACAAATCATCCTAAGCTGAAGATAATAAAAAGTTATATTTGCCTTTGGAATGTATTTTGGTACTTAAATTAGAACGTGACTTTCCGATGCCCTGAGAACTCACGATGCTTCATAATAGTCACAAAGAAGGCCTGACCTGGGGCTGGGAAGCTGCCCAATTTTGCCATCTTGTCCTCCACGTAACTTTTCCTCTTTGCTGGGGTGAGCAGGATCATCTTCCAGAACACCCAGCGACCCAGGCTTTCTCAGACAGGGGCTCCCCGGATCACCCCGACCCAGCGAGAAGAGACAGGGTCTTTCCTGGATCTCAGGATGATCCAGGATCAAGACCCAGATGATCTGGTTCTGGTTTCCAGAGGATGGGTCCAAAGGGCCACACAACCTACAGTGAGCAGCAAGCTGGACAAAATGAGGGCCTAATCCTCTACCTTAGAGGACACGCAAGCCCATTTCTGGAGAGAAAGAGCAGAAGACTTAGTTGGAAATGAAGGTGAAACGTATGCCTGGCATTTGGAAAGAAAGAAGCTGCACACGCGGGATGTGGGGTGGCAGTCTGGTGCTCACCTAAGGCTGGTGGGATGGAGACCCGCGCTCAAAGCCCCCGTCCAAGGAGAAAGGAGAGCATGCTCACAGTAGTAACTGTGGGCCCAGAAGGAGGGGACAGATGGTTACCTGCTATTCTCTGTCCTCTGTCAGGCCCTAGGCTCTATAAGGGGAGGCTGGTGTAACCTAGCAGGAAGCAGGGCCAATCAGACACCTCGAATGCATCCAAGTCCTTTAACCAGAGACTCCTGCAGAGTGGCACGTGGCTGCAGGAGGCAGGCCTGGGTCAGGAGCACGTCTCTCTGATTCAGAGAGTGACTGGACAGTCGCAGGAACACAGACAAGCTGCTTGGCCTCAACCCTGCTCAGGTCACCTCTGGCCACCTCTATTTTTCCTTTTTTCTATCACACTCTGCTCTTCAACTTTTCCTTCGGAAAGCCCAGACCTCTGCTGTATAATTAACATGAAATAAAATTTACAGTGCAGTTTCTCAGTCACAGCAACCACATTTCAAGTGCTCAACCACCACATGTGGCTGGTGGATACCATATTGGACCGTACCAACACAGAACATCCACATCATCACGCAAAGTTCTACTGGACAGTGTGCTAATCCAGACTTTTAGTTCTAGAAGGTAGTCCCTTCCACTCTTCACAGGGTCAAAGAAAGTAACAGAAAGAAGAAATACACTTTATGAAGTATCTTTTTTTAATTTTATTTTATACAGCATCATGTGTTATACAGTGTCAGCCTATTCTCCTGCCATACATTGTGGGAACTACATAGCTAAGTAGTTAGCACAAGGCTCACAACTATTGGATGATATGGTTATAATTAAAGCCAGATCTTCCATTTCTAAGGTAAGTGCTTTCCACTGGTACATGCAACTGCCAGTTACTTTGGACAGTGCTGCCATAAAAGCTCAGGCCTCCCACAAGAAGGCTGACAGCTCCCTGTAGTGTGTTTTGATGGTTAAGTAATGGCTGAAATGATAACTAAACTTCATACAATGTAATTTAGCAGCTGTTGAGTTGGAGAGCTTGGGGTTCAAATCCTGACCTATCTGCTTACCACTTACCGGACAGAAAGCATGTCACTCGCCATCTTTGAACCCAAATCTCCTTTTCTCTAAGTGGGGATGATAGTAACTTACTTTCTAGTGTTGTCAGAAAGATTAAATAAGGCAATGCAGCCGAAACCGGTTTGGCTCAGTGGTAGAGCGTCGATCTGCGGACTGAAAGGTCCTGGGTTCGATTCCGGTCAAGGGCATGTACCTTGGTTGCGGGCACATCCCCGGTAGGAGGTGTGTAAGAGGCAGCTGGTCGATGTTTCTCTCTCATCGACGTTTCTAGCTCTCTATCTCTCTCCCTTACTCTCTGTAAAAAAAAATCAATAAAATATATTTAAAAAAAAAGAATTGCTTAAATAAGGCAATGCATGTGAAAGGCTCAGCACAGAGCCTGGCACATATTAGTGCTCGGCACGTAGTAATTATTAATGTAATTGGCAGGATTTATAGTGCACTGTCACACGCAGTACATGGCCTCCTGATGGAGGCTTCCGGGCGAGAAGGCATTACAGTGATTGCAGTCCTCATTCTTACAGACAATCTGAACCTAAGCAAATAAAGGAGTGATCAAAATCATGCAACTAGAAAGTTGTAGATCTGGGACATAAACTCAAATTATTTGGACTCCAAATCCTATGCTCTTCTTGCTACCCAATGTTGCTTCTCAGGAGAGAAGGGAGCAGTGGGACCAGGGCATGCTTTAGAGGAAATTTAGTTATCCCTCCTAACCCCATCTTCTTCCCTCTTCTTTGAAATGGACAATTAATGTTTCCTTCGTGTTATGTAAAACGCTGTACAAAGGTGGACTGAGCATCCTCATCTCTTAACTGTCGCCATGAAGCCCCTCTGACAGAGATTCTAGAATTCCACCGATGAGGAAGTAACTAACCTTCATAGCTAAGGCTAAGAAGAGAGGACCTTGAAGCCAAGCATTCAAATCTCCCTGGAAAGCGTGGAATGAACACCTTTCTTGGATCTACCCTCCATCCCCGCACTGCTATCACAAAAGGCAAAGCAGCAGCATACCAGCATCCGCTGAGCCCAGCTGGGACCTATGGGTGAGGATGTGTGTTGTTGTAGGCCACTGGACTCTGGAGCTGTTACTGGGCCTTATCACCATAAACGCTGGCCAATGCATCTACCAAACTCAAGGTGGGAGGCACTTACCCTGCCACGACGATCTCAAAGTCCCCGTCGTGGTCCACGTCCGTAACTGCCACACCGTAGTTGAGCTGGGTGGGGTTGCTGTCATAGTCAGGGGGCAGAACCGAATTGGTGACTGCCGTGAACATGGGTTCAGCTCGCTGGGACCCCTCCGTGGGGGGCAGGAACCACAGCAGCAGCAGCAGGAACAGAAACATCCTGAACATCTGAAACCAAAAGTAACAAACGCTACTGAAACATAGAGTCAAAGCGGCCCAGGAAACTCTAACCCCTGGTAGACCCAGAAGCACTTTTCTCCCCCGTTCACGAAGGGCCTGGCAATTCCTAGACTGCCACTTCTCCACAAGACTGTTCTGACCTCCATCACGCCTGGCCACCCTGACCCTGCTCTGCCTTTTCTTTTTCTTTCTTTTCTTTTTCTTTCTTTCTTTCTTTTTATTTTATTTTATTTTATTTTATTTTATTTTATTTTATTGATTTCTTTACAGAGAGGGAGAGAGATGGAAACATCGATGAGAGAGAAACATTGATCAGCTGCCTCCGACTGCGGATGTGCCCGCAACCAGGGTACAAGCCTTGACTGAAATCGAACCTGGGACCTTTCATTCCGCAGGCTGAAGCTCTATCCACTAAGCCAAACCGGTTTCGGCTCTGCCTTTTCTTTTTCGATAGCACCTATCACTATATATAACACACACGGTGTAACACATTCATTCATCATGTCTATTATTTGTTGTCTGTCTCCCTCCGCTAGAATATAAGCTCCACTAGGGCAAGGATCTTTGTCTGTTTTGTTCACCCATGTACCCTAAGCCAAGGACAGGCCCTTCATAGATATTTGTTGAGCGGGTGAATGAAGGAAGGGAGTGTAGAGTATAAATACACTGGCCTCTCCCATACTCTGGAAGGATGAAGAAAAGAACAGCTTCTCAGCGGTCCAGGGGGTGGTGGGGTGAGACTCTCGAGCGTCCGGGTCTAGAACAACAGCGAGGTGTGAGGGGTCGTCTCTCTGTGAATCACACCCCAGAGGTAGTCTGGAAGGAACCAGACTTAGCAGGTTTCCCTGGCCAAGGTCCCTCCCTGGACAGCTGGCCATGGCCTCCAGGCCAGCAGGGAGGCAGTTAGGGAATGTATCCCAGCAGGACCTGGCAGGCGGCACATCATTCACTCGGAGGAATTAAAGCGTGGCGTGCGTGTTTTATTATAAATTAATTATGTATAATCCGCTGTATAATTCATTGTTATATCGCTAACATAACTCAGGGTGTTGCCGAGCAGCCCGGGGCCATGGGAGCCCATGGCGCACGCCCAGGAGACAGATGAGAATGGCCAAGAAGCTGGAAGGACTCCACCCCCCTCCTCGCTGGCAGGGGGAGACACTCAGAGAAGCTACAGATGGCACTGCCCGGAGACTCTGCCCTCAGGCTTTGGAGCGCTGCAGAAAAGGCTCCGCTGGCACGCGGCCGGCTCAGGCTGAGCAGGCCCACTCCCGCAGGCAAGGGGGTGCCTCCCTGCCTTCCGCAGACAGCAACCCCCTTCCTGACGAAGCTTCTCCTGCTGCCTTGTCAGTGGTCTGGCAGCCGAGAGAGCGAGGCTGAGTATGGTTGACGTCTTAATAAGAGAAGATCTGAAGACTGACTCCCCATTACAGAGGCAGATGCTCCTGCCAGCACATCGGCTCGCTCCAGTTCAGGACTCGGAGATCAGCGTGAAGGGCGCAGGCACGTCAGAGCCAGCATGACTCGGAAGCCTCCTCACTACCTCGTGGGCGAGGCGGGAGAGAGACGGGGCCAGGGTCCCAGTAGTGTGGCTGAAGCCAACCTGGAAGGCGAGCCTTCGTGGGAAGGAGGTTCCCGGAGCGTCCCCTCATACGGCGCGTGTTGATGTTGCGCGATCAGAGTGAGGTCAGTTCAAATTACAGAAGCATCTGAACGAGACAGCATCTTCTACCCGGCTGGCTAATTACCAAAGGCAAACGCGCCGCTAGGAGAGTTTGCAACTCGGCAGGAAGTTTGGTTGGATAAAGGAAACTCATAATTGGATTAATGAGCAGCTGGAGGGGTCGGAAATGAGAAGCTGGAGTATTTATGGACCAGCGCAGACATGCTGAACTGTGGTGAGAATCTGAAGGTCAGATCAGCTTTTCAAGGACTGACCTCTATGGTAGGGATGGCAAAAGCGTTACAACTTGAGATCCAAATCCCCGATTGATTGGAGGGGCTGGGAAGGGCACTGGGATCAGCTTTCGGCGTTTGCCATGGGCATGAAAGAGGCAAGTAGGCCTTCTGGAAGCTAGTTCATTCCTTCCGGGCCCCATACCTGCGATTTGGGTCACCTCCCCAGCGAGGCAGGCCCTGTCAGGGTGACACCAGTCACTGGTAGGAATTTTCTATGGAAGGCCACGAGGGGCGAGAACCACGATCCAGCCTCTTGATTTCTACCTTTTCTGTGAAACGTAGAACTCTTAATTAAAGGAGCCGTATGAAAGAAGTAACTACTCCTATCCATTTCCAGAAAAATAACCTATGGCAAGATAAAAAAGAAATACTGCACCCACGGGCTGACCCCTATTTTGCCTGGTGACCTTGAGCAAGCCACAGTCTCATTGGGTCCCAGCTTTCTTCTCGGAAATGAAAGTTTGGGACTAGATCTCTCAAGTTCCTTTTCAGCTCTAAAATTCTATAATGGATCAAAGGACGGGAGAAGAAAAGCCAGCCTTCGCCGCTTTTTCTCCCCGGTTTCTCCTGTAAACTTCAGACCAACCCGTGGGTTTTTCCCTTCCCGAGCATATTAGACATATTTGGAATTCTATGGCTTTTCAGGAGTTTCCTCGTGGGGGCCATGGGCAGAGAGGAAGCAACCACCATTGGTGTGGAGCCTGAAGTCATCTGTCCTGGGCAGAACATGCGTGGTTTCTCCCCAGCGGGGCTGGCTGAGAGTCAGCAAGGAGGGCATGCACTTTGCATTTCCATCCTCCGCCCTGTCAGAGGCGCCCGAGGCACTCACCACCGGAGCTGCTCAGTGCTGGCTAGTTAGAGGGTGAGCCTTGGGCCTGCGCCGATGGTGGATCAGGAGACAGTGATGGTGGGGAAACTTAGGGAAAGGTCTGTAAATACCCACCCTCTGCTTTCAGGGCTCAGATGAAGGAACTCATCGAAACGCGATTCAACATCCTGGCTGCTCAGAATGGTCTCCACACCTGCATCGGGGAGTTTGTTGAAATGCTGAATCTGGGGCCGAACCCCAGACCTACTAAGTCAGAAAATGCGCTTTAATAAGATTTCAGGTGATTCAAATGCAACCTGCCATGCAGTTATTTAAAAACTGTTCTTTGCATAAAGCAATGCTTCTCGAGTTGTAACGTGCTTACAAATCACCAGAGGGTCTTGGTGAAATGCAAATGTTTTATTTTTACATTTATGAAAGCCGGGGACAGTGAAATCAGGAAGGGCTTAGGGTAGCGGCAGGAGAGGGCTTTGGTGCTGCTCTGCTTTGGACCCCTAGAAGAGTTATGGGAATGAGTGTAGGTGGGACTGCTTTGGCTCACTGGGAAGTCAGGGGAAAGGGGGTCTTGGACACAGGTTCAGGGGGTCAGCCTGGGACGAGCCGCCACTGCCCACTGCTCCCCTGGTTACAAGTCCCGTGGGGAAACTTAGAGTTGAGGAGATGCGTGCCTGAGAGGGCGTGGGTATAGTCTTGGGAGGAAGAACACCAGTAAAATGCAAATCCTGACTTGGCCTGTCTGGGGCGGGGCCTGAGATTCTGCATTCTAGCAAGCTGCCTGGTGATGCCCAGGCTGCTGGTCTGCAGGCTTCATTCACTCGCAGAAGCAACAAGGCTAGACCTATGGTTCTACACCCCAGTTGCCCAACAGAATCACCCGGGGCAGGTGATTTAGGAATATGCTGCTGTCCAGGTCCTTTGGACTTAATTGGGTGGGTGGGAAGTGTGTGTGTGTGGGGGGAGGGGGCGTTGAGTGCTGCCCATTTTTAGAAACTTCCTAGATGATGTTGATGGGCAGCCCAGGGCTGAGAGCCACTGCCCAGACTCGTGGTCCCCAGATGGGAGTGTGAGCTGCAATCTGATTTGAAGTGAAAAATGCTTCTGCTACTAAAATTCATCACCGGCTTGTTGAAGTATACGAAGAAAATCTATTTAGCTAGAGAGCGTCCAAGGAGGAGGTGGCGGTGGCGGCATGGGGGAGTTTGGGGAAGGAAGCCGAGCAGGATGGCGCCGCCTGAGGCAGCACGGCCGTGGGCACCCCGAGTGACCCCTTACTTTACACGGCTGGCTCGGGGAACCTCCTCTCTCATCTCCACGAACGTCCGAGTCCTTTGGAAGAAAGGTTAAAAATAGAACTAAAAAGTAGGTTGGACTGAACTTTGTTTTCCTCAACGCATGTGTGGCGAGCACCTGCATCAGAGCGCGGGGAGGGGTGTCCGCAGGCACCAGAGTAGTGAGGAGTGTAAGTGTACGTGGAGGACATCCGGGGCCTAGCAGCCTGCAGGGGGCGAGGCTACTCGTCCAGAGCATGGACATAGGGGTGCAGGGCCAGTGTGCCAGCAGCGCCCCAGTAAGGAAGTGGTCTGCTCCTGCAGGGAAGATGGCAAAGTGGGGTTTCCATGAAGGCGAGAGATGGTAGGACTTGCGCTTCAGCAGGGGGAAGAACTGCTTTGTAGTAATAATTTCTTAAAAAATGCTCTCTAAGCAAACTTCCTGAACACGCCTCAGTGGGGATGAAGAGAGAAAAAGATAGAAAACCCAAAGCCTGGAGTCGGGGACCTAAGTTTGGATCTTAACTCCACCATTAACTCTCTGGCGACCCTGGGTATGCTCCTTAATCGGTCTGATCTTCAGTGTCCTTATCTGTGACAGGGGAACCCTCTGATGTACCAAGGGTCCTAGGGTTAAGTGAGCTGGCAGGGGCCTCAGGGGGAGGGCTGGGCAAGACGGTGGCTCCCTGCATGCCTCCTCTCGGTCCACAGGGTGTGCTAAGGTCAGAGAGCCTTTAGACACTGGCTGTGGGTCACATGCAGCCAAACTCAGTTTTCCGTGGCCTCGGGACTTTCCTGAATTGGGTCTGAAAACTGGTAACCAAGCAACCCAGATCTCTGATGTGGGGCCAGGCAGCTGTGGGGAGAGGCTTCCAGGGCAATTTCCAGGGCAAGCAGTTATTTAGCAATTATCGAAAGAGCCAAGGACACCA